TAGTGGTATTCATTCTTAGTTATAGATGAGAGGTTTCAACTTCGACTTATTGTGCTAAGTTTGAAACATAATTAGTGATGACCCATTGTGTGACCTTGCCCCATCCCTCTCCTCTCAGGGTAGAATATTCCCTTTTTAGAAAAAGATATTTTTGTTATCTAAAACAATGCAACACTACTACAATATTAGCTTTAGGTGACGGATGATGGTGGCGAATATTAGAAAAATCATGTCGGATATATTTAGGTGGCAGATGATAGTGGCGGATATTAGAAAAATCTTGTTGTTTATATCTGACGTAAAGTCCTGGTGGATATTTAGTGGCGGATATCAAACAAATCCTGTCGATTATAACTGACAGTATTTTTGAATCTTTTTTTTTTTTAAATATTTTTGACATATTCTAGTGGTTTTTAAGTTAATGGTGGCAGTTATAACCAACAGAAATTGATTATTTTATTATTTTACTTTCTAGCGGTTATTATTTTAGTATCATGGCGTTTATAACCGACAGAAATGAAAATTTTATTATTTTAAAATGTTATATTGATTAAAAATAAATAAATAAACACATATTTTAAATATATTTTTTTCACTCATGACCCTAAAGTCTAATGAAACCAATTCCCACGAGCCATAAGTTTTTTGAGAGAATAATAACAACAGACTACAATCTGAAGCTCTATAATTTTTGTAATAAGGATTATGCTCCCTCACAGGCAAGCAACAAGATACAAAGAAATTCAAACAATTTTTTTCAATGCATCACAAAGCACATTGTCTGGCACATAAACACACATGAACATCTGGTGTACTCTATCATGTCTGATTTTATTATTTTAAAATGTTATATTGATTAAAAATAAATAAATAAACACATGTTTTAAATATTTTTTTTCACTCATGGCCCCGTCGGATATAACCGACACTAACAAAGCAAAATTTTGGACGACCGCCAGAATAATCTCTGAATGCTTTTTTTTTTGTGATTTTTTACACATGCTATCTCGGAGTATATACAAACATATTTAACGATTGGATCGTTGAAACTAGTTTCCTAGAATGCATATCCTATCAAATTGATAGATAACAAACACTTAAGAGTTAATGTTATACTTCCATTAAGTATAAAATAAGATTTATCCACTGGTGTAAATATTTTAAATTGAAGATCAAATTCATTCATTTCATTCTTATAGGATTGAGGAGTGTAGCTAAAAAAAATCATCAAAATCGGAGCTAAACTAACTGTTAAATTGTGATTTTTCGTTTATAACCATCGAAAACTTTTGTTCCATTACCTAATCTCTAAATGTTTGTGTTTTGCAATTTTTTACATATGCGATCTCGTAGTGTGTACAAACAAGTTTGACGGTTGGATCGTTGAAAAACGTTTCGTAGAATGCGTATCGCATCAAAACGGTAGATTAAACCAACACATAGAGTTAATGTTATACTTCCCCATCAAGTATAAAATAAGATTTCACTAGTGTAAATATTTTAAATTGAAGATCGAATTTGTTCAATGCATGCTTATAGGGTCGATGAGTGTAGCTGTAAAAAATCATCAAAATCAGAGCTAAAATAACCGTCGAAAACTTTTGTTTTGTTACCTAATCTCTGAATGTTTATTTTTTATGATTTTTTACGTATGTGATCTCGGATTGTGTACAAACAAGTTTGAGGTTAGATCATTGAAAAAAATTTCAAAGAATGTGTATCAAGTCAAAACAGTAGATTAAATAAACACTTAAGAGTTAATGTTATACTTCCATTAAGTATAAAAAAAGATTTGGTGGTATCCACTAGTGTAAATATTTTAAATTGAAGATCAAATTTATTCATTGCAATCTTATAGGGGCGAGGAGTGTAGCTGTAAAAAAATCATTAAAATCAGAGGTAAAATAACCGTTAAATTGTGATTTTTCGTTTATAACTGTCGAAAACTTTTGTTCCGTTACGTAATATCTGAATGTTTGTTTTTTACGATTTTTTACGTATGCAATCTCGGTGTAACATCCCACATCGCCCAAGGGAGTGATCCTTAAATGTATATTCCCATCCGTATCTAGCACGAAGCTTTTTGGGAGCTCACTGGTTTCGGGTTCCGTAGGAACTCCGAAGTTAAGCGAGAAGGAGGCCAGAGCACTCCCAAGATGGGTGACCCACTGGGAAGTTGCTTGTGAGTTCCCAAAAACAAAACCGTGAGGGAATGGTAAGCTCAAAGAGAACAATATCTTGCTACGGGGTGGAACGGGCCCGGGATGTGGTGGACCCGAGCCGGGATGTGACAAATTGGTATCAGAGCCAATCCCTGGCTGAAAATGTGCCGATGAGGATGTCGGGCCCCCTAAGGGGGTGGATTGTAACATCCCACATTGCCTAGGGGAGTGATCCTTAAATGTATATTCCCATCCCTATCTAGCACGAGGCTTTTTGGGAGCTCACTGGCTTCGGGTTCCGTAAGAACTCCGAAGTTAAGCGAGAAGGAGGCCAGAGCACTCCCAGGATGGGTGACCCACTGGGAAGTTGCTCGTGAGTTCCCAAAAACAAAACCGTGAGGGAATGGTAAGCCCAAAGCGGACAATATCATGCTACGGTGGTGGAACGGGCTCGGTATGTGGTAGACCCGGGCCGGGATGTGACAAATTGGTATCAGAGCCAATCCATGGTTGGAAGTGTGCCGACGAGGACGTCGGGCCCCCTAAGGGGGGTGGATTGTAACATCCCACATCGCCCAAGGGAGTGATCCTTAAATGTATATTCTCATCCCTATCTAGCACGAGGCTTTTTGGGAGCTCACTGGCTTCGGGTTCCGTAAGAACTCCGAAGTTAAGCGAGAAGGAGGCCAGAGCACTCCTAGGATGGGTGACCCACTGGGAAGTTGCTCGTGAGTTCCCAAAAACAAAACCGTGAGGGAATGGTAAGCCCAAAGCGGACAATATCGTGCTACGGTAGTGGAACGGGCCCGAGATGTGACACTCGAAGTGTGTACAAATAATTTGATGGTTGGATCGTTGAAAAAAGTTTCATAGAATGCATGTCGTGTCAAAACAGTAGATTAAACAAACACTTAGAGTTAATATTATACTTCCATTAAGTATAAAATAAGATTTTGTGGTATCCATTAATATAAATATTTTAAATTGATGATCGAATTCGTTCATTGCATTATTATAGGGTCGATGAGTGTAGTTGTAAAAAAAATCATCAAAACCAGAGCTAAAATAACTGTTAAATTGTGATTTTTCGTTACTTTTGTTCTGTTACCTAATCTTTGAATGTTTTTTTTTTTGTGGTTTTTTACGTATGCGATCTTGTAGTATCTACAAACAAGTTTGACGGTTAGATCATTGAAACTAGTTTCATAGAATGCATATCTCTGTTAAATTTGCCTAAATTTTGAAGTGGGAAAAGTAATTTGTGCTAAATTTTTATTTATGCTTTTCAAGTATTGATTAGACAATATTTAGTTTGTGTGATGACATTTTCATTGTACAATTATTTTTTTTGTTTCTTTATTGCATATTTTACATGGGTTATTATATATTAAACCAAACAATTATTTATGTAATTTTTAAAAACGTATTCTATTTAATACATATTATTTATTTATTTATTAAACCAAACCATTATTATTTTATTTTGGTTTTTCGGGGAAGGCGGAGATAGAACAACTCCCTGAGACTACGCAGTTCTCTCCCCCAGCGGCTCCGACGCCGGAGAGGTGGAATTGGCATTGCGAGATTCGAAGAATGGGGCGTGCAAGCTGCACACCCGGTTCACAATCTCGCCGCAGGTTGAGCTGGATAGACGACGCGTCGAACCGGGACAGGGAAGAGGGAACCGGGCCGGTTAGGTTGTTAAAGGAGACGTTGAAGATTAAAAGGAAGGATTTGTTCAGACCCGGGAGGGAGCCGTTGAAGCGGTTGGACTGGAGCTGGAGCGAGGTGAGCCGGTCCAGGCCAGAGAGGTTGTCGAGAATGGGACTGAAGAGGTCGTTGAAGGAGAGATCAAGGACAGTGAGGCGGTGGAGGGCGAGGATGGAGGGGGAAAGGAGCCGGAGAACGAGTTGCGATTGAGGAAGAGGGATTTCTGCAATATCAACAAAAAGTGGTTGTTTATATTTTTTTTAATTATTAATATATTTTTTGTCGGTTTTATCCGACAAGAATGCTTTTATTTATTCTTATTAATAAATTCTCTGTCGGTTATATCCTACCGAAGTTCTATCGGTTTTAAACTTTTCTGTCAGTTTTAGCCGACAGAAATGCTCATATTTATTCATTATTAATATATATTCTCTGTCGGTCATATCCGACACAATTTATGTCGGTTTTCGAGTATTTTCTGTTGGAAAATTCATTTCTTAACGCTGGCAATTCTGTCGCTTTTTATATCCGCCATTGCATCTATTTTCTGTCGAATTTTTCTTAAAATCCAACAATAATATACGTTTTTTGTCGGTTTTTGAACCGCCAATTATAGATAATTTTGTAGTAGTGCAAGGATACTTGTGTTAATTACTAAACGAGAAAGTTAATTTAAAATGAATAATTAAGCGAATACCTGGGACTAAATAGTATAACTAATGAATAATGTTGAGGAGACTAAATTTGTCAATCAACTGATGTAATTATTGATGATTAATTAAAGTATTACTTAAACATTGATTAACGTGCTTATTTTCTATTAGTCCACATCATTTGGTGAGTAAATTTGTTTTAAAATTTTGGTTAGTTGTCACGGTTATACAAGTAGACCTAGATTATTATGCAGTCGTCAAACGCGCCTAATAATGCTCAGCTGACAATTAGCCATATTTAGCATGCAGCACCACAGAATATACCCCGTTCCGTCGGAACCCTAAACCTAGCAACCATCCTTAACACTCCGTTTTAATCCGGACAAGACCACGTGGCGGTCATGTCAACCATGGCCCACAACCCACGGCCTCTGGTTATGTGGATACATTCGATGGCTCTCTGCCCCAGTTGCTTCATCCTCCTCTCTCTCTCCTTTATCATCATCATCATCTTAAATCTCTCTCTCTCTTTCCTCTCTCTAATAATTCCGGCTATTTCTTTGTCAGATTCCGGCCAACCCTTTCTTCCTCTTTATATATACCTAACCCCCTCCCTCTGCTCTTTAGCTTTCTCTCACATTTCCACCTCTCTCTCTCTCTCTCTCTCTCTCTCTTTAACTGCTCCAATACCATCATCCACCCGCTCCCATTACACACTATTACTACTTTATGATCAAACCTGGCCCATAAAACTCCTCAATGAATTGGGCATAAGAATCTAATCCTAACCAATCTGACCACATTTTCCAAAACTAACCACAATTCTTCAGACCCCAAATATATTATTACCCATCAATTGTTTCCCCTTCCATTTCTGATCACATCACTTGATTTCAGAAGTGCCCAAAAATCTGTTTGTGTTTTTTCTCTGTGATGAACCGAGCTTTACCCGAGATGTTGAACTGTATGAACGCGCCGGGGACTTTTATCGCCGGAAACTGTACCGACATGACGGTGCTGGAGAGGCAGAGGGCCCGGATGAAGTGGCAGCAGAGCGACCATCATGATCAACAACAGCAGCAGACTCAGTATAATTTTGGCGGGGGCGAGCTTAGTGGGGTTTTCTCCCTTCCAATTCATGCTCAGGGGCTTCAGGGTTTTCTGAGTGGTAACCGGGCTGTGAAACCCGACCCGAGTTCCGAAAACGGGTGGGCTGAATTGGGTTTCGGGTCTTGTGGGTTGGTCATGAATAATAATGGCACTGCAGGGTTTGAAGGGATGGGTAATGCTCTCAATAACAACATCTCCAGGACTTTTAGCTGCCCGCCCACTGTAGTCGCCGAGAAGACGTCCGGCGACACCGTTTTGTCTCAAAAGCTTAGCTTGCCGGCCGGGAAAGAAAGCTTTAAGAAGAGGAAGGCTGATAAGGTGCAGATCAATAAGGTGTGCCCTCTACGTTCAACTTTCTAATATATATATACACATATGTTTTAGAAATTGTTTGAAAGGAGGAATTTTACAAATTCCAATTGTTTAAAGATCAAAATCACATAATGACGATATATCGATCATATTTAGTTATTTGCGACATATTTGATTGGTACTAAGTTTCGTTTTTTGTGTTGTAATTGTGTTTCTGTTTTTGGGATTTCTATTAGGCTGCTGCTGCTGCAGAAAGTGATAGCACAGAGAAAAGAATGAAAAGTTGTGCAGAAAAAGGGGACTCCAAGATCACAGAGCAAACCAGCACCAAGAACAACGACGGAGAATCTTCTGGTGATACTTCAAAGGATAATTCAAAAGCTTCTGAGGTTCAAAAGCCTGATTACATCCATGTCCGTGCGCGGCGAGGTCAGGCCACGGATAGCCACAGCTTGGCTGAGAGGGTGAGTAGGACATTTGGTGTTCAAATTTATATACAAATTTTACTGCGCGTGGATCCTGTTCTTCGATTTCGTGTTATTTATGCCATGTGTTGGTCTCATGATCATGCAGGTGAGGAGGGAAAAGATCAGTGAAAGAATGAAATATCTGCAAGATTTAGTACCAGGGTGCAACAAGATCACTGGCAAGGCCGGCATGCTTGATGAAATCATCAATTATGTTCAGTCTCTTCAACGACAAGTAGAGGTGACATACATTTGATCTTTTCCGATCATCGGTTTAAGTACTTCGTTATCTTTTTATTGTTCTGTATTCTTAAACGAATCCTCTTCATAATTAACAGTTCCTGTCTATGAAACTAGCTGCTGTGAATCCGAGGCTTGACTTCAACATCGACGACTTGTTTGCAAAAGAGGTCAGGAATCTCTTTAATACTATAAGACCAATCAGTTTTTGTAGATATCCCAATTACCATTCATTTTGTTCTCGAAAATTTGATGCGTGAAATTGCTTAAAATGGCTTATCAGGAAAAAATGTTCTTAAGAAAATTATGCTCTTTACTCTTTTGGCGAACTAATGAAGACTCGTTTGTCCAAAGTTCCGTTACTTGTAGTCTCATTTCGCTTCAAATCAGCAGATGTTTCCTACGTGCGCGGCCAATTTTCCGACGATGGGGATGTCATCAGAAATGACCAATTCTGTGTATCTTCAGTTGAATCCAATGCAACAATTGGTTTCATCTTCTGGGTTGGATATGGGGTTAAATTCCACTGATTTGGCACTTCGAAGAACCATAAGCGCTCCGAGTTCGATCCCCGAACCATTTCTTGACACATCCTGTTTCACTGTAATGTCTATAAAAGCTTGTGTCAGTTATATAGACTGTAAAATTTTAGCAATATTTTGATAGAAAATCTTACATGCCACCTGCAGCAAGCCCAACCTACGGCAATTTGGGATGTTGATTTACAGAACATTTTCAATGTGGAATTTCAACAAGGAAGATCATCCTTTCAATCGCAACCATTTATAGGTAGATAGAACTAATCTCTCTCCTGCATTCTCATACCATTTCCCATGACTCCATTTTTGTAAGATAAGAATAGATAAGAATTTTTAGGTTCAACTAACTGTGGTAGAGATTATGGACCACATAGACCCACAAATGTCTAATGATTTTGCTTAGGAATTTAGTAATTCCTTTCTAATGGACTAAAGAAAGCTTTCTAGATGTATATGCGGGTTAGGCCAGGCCAATCGACCAGAACAATGTGTTTGCCTCTTTGCACTCAAGTTGAATCTCTCGTTCATATATTTAGCGTCGATTAAAACATCTCTTTCTAATGGTTATCTGCTTTTCCTCCTAAATCGATTAAAAGTAAAGATTTTCTTCTTTTTCTCTGAATGATTAAGATCTTGCCTAAACATTATGGATAGAAAAGGGGAGAAGTTAAAGATGTGGTGCAATTAGAGTCTGTAAACCACATAATGGCTATCACTACTAAGAAAAAGTTTAGGCTCCAATTCACTCAATCAAATAATGATGATGCTTTTGATTGTGCAATCATTTTTTTCCTTTTTTCTTTTTTTCTGTTGTATTTGGAGAGGGAAAATTAGGTGAATAATTACTCTCATGATGTTATTTTTGCAGGTTCCATTGAAGATAGCAATTTAAAGATGGAGATGTGAATGAAACGTCACTCATTAGATTCTTGGAAGAGTTTACTTTGATGCATCTGATCCAGATTATTTTCTCTACTCTCTTAAGTACATAACATATTTATATATATGTTTGTATCTATACCTGCAACATAGTGTGAATAAAATAAATTTCCCACAAAAATCATCCATTGTCTGTTAACCAAATTGTACTAAATAAGGTTGATGGATCAAGAAAATGGAACCATAATAACAAGTTTAAGACGAAGAAGAGAACTTTCTTGCCACGGTGGCATGCACCGTTGTTTCTCTCTTTCTCTCCTACTCTAAATCTTAAACCCTAAACTCTGATCGTATCATATATTCATATGTGCCAGGTCACATGAGAACAGAAATAATATAAGTGATATAACGCCGTGACAAGTAAGTTTTCATGGTTTTATAAACTAAATTATCCTCCAATTGAAGTGAAAGACAAACAAGTGTTGATAGCCACCAGCTGTCATGGGATTGGAAAAATTGCCAAATCATATTTTGTAGATTGATAATGGAATGCAAGTTGTCCCTCTAACGGATGGAGTTGAGAGACAAGTTCAGGCAAGCACTAGATGTGGACCGACCCAGCTCCCTTTTGATAGCAATAATAATATTTGTTGATAGAGACCTAGATGATAATACACGGCACGTTCTGGATTCGATTTCTAGCATTGGTGAATCGCATGATAGGTGGCTAGCGGGAGACTGAAATGCTTATATGAGTCTTTCCGACTCCCGAAAGGGTGGACAGCCGTGGCAAAACCACCAACTGGTCCCTTCTTCTCCCTCTTTTTCCCTTTGCATTTCGTCTCCATCTTTTCAACTGAAAACGAAAACCAAAAACCAAAAACGAAAAGTGCTACCAAGGGAAGATGAGTACATGGATAGGTCCGTGGACCTGGCCTCATCCATATGAATGATCTCCTTTGATTCTCTTTGTTCCTCTCGATGGTGAGAGATGATCTTGCCTTTCCCATTTCTTGGGTCCACTACAAATTTGGTGTGGAAACATTTTGTTATACTAGATCTTTGAGGTCTCTTTGGTCACCTTTCACTCACATGGTGCCGTTTCAAGGAGTGAAAGCTCAAAACCTATAAAGATTCTTTCTGCATAGTGCATATATCAGTGCAACTCTAAAAGCTTGTTTGGAGCTGCTCAGAGCTCCCAAGTTTTGTCTTTTTCTTGACAACAGGAATCCAAAATGCTATTCAGAAAAATGGTTACTTGTGAGAGGTGGATAAAGATAACAAAATGTGAACACTCAACAAGCTGGTAAAGACATTTTTGTTCTGACTTCTGTCGGTAATTTAGATGAATTTAATGTAATTATTTTATCATTTGTAAAAACAAGCTGGTGGAAGACATTTGACTTCATCTCTAACAAGAAGAATAAATGTTTTTGAGACTCCTCTTTTTATTTTATTTTAGAACAAATTATCAATGGTCATATATTTTTAGTTATGGGACCATTGCTTCGATTAGGTTAAAGTTGAGGGACCATTGCTAAAATTTTCTCTCTAGATAATGAGTCATTCATTTCCACACCTACTCGGAAACTTAATATATAATAGAGGCATTCGTCAATTTGCCCCCTAATTTTCCCTCTCAACTTTAATTTTGGTCAATTTCCCCCATCAACTCTCATAACTAGTCAATTTCCACTCTGCTGTTAAATTTTTGAATTTTTCATCTATTCTTCCATTAAGTATGTCACCTGCTATCCACGTGACTGCCTTTAAAGGGCAAAAAAGTCATTCCTTTTACATAGACCTGTAAACGGGTCGGGTTTATTGGGTTTGGATCGGGTTGAACCCGACCCGTTAAGCTAACGGGTCACCGGAACCCAACCCGTTAAGCTTAACGGATCACCCGTTTCACCCATTAACCTTTTTTTTTTTTTTTTTTACACATTTCATCCAAATCAATTACACCCGTTCTTAGCATTCTAGTGCTTGTGCTAGCCACCTCCTTCCTTCATTCGGTTTGTGTGCATATACAAGATTGGGAATGTCACCAAACATGTTTATTTTTGTCATGTCTACTTGCCGCAAGAACTAAATGAAACAACTACAACCACGGCCCATGGTTGCAACGAGGGTTGCTGATCAATAAACCAGGGGGTTGCCGCATATAAACTTCCTCACTCAAAGAACCATGTAGAAACACATTTTGAACATCAAGTTGATTAATAGGCCAATTAAAATGGATAACAACTTATTAAATTAACCTGACACTAGCATGATTGTGTTTTTATATAGTAGAATTTGACTTTCTATCAATTACATGCGTCTCCGAATCTTAACATAGATCGGGAAATTGTTTAAGTAAAACACATTAATTCTCTTTCTCAAGTCTCAATCAATGTCTCACTACAGAGTCTACAGTAACATCAAGTTGATTAATAGGCCAATTAAAATGGATAACAACTGATTAAATTAACCTGACACTAGCATGATTGTGTTTTTATATTGTAGAATTCGACTTTCTATCAATTACATGCGTCTCCGAATCTTAACATAGATCGGGAAATTGTTTAAGCAAAACACATTAATTCTCTTTCTCAAGTCTCAATCAATGTCTCACTACAAAGTCTACAGTGGCTTTATTTCTTCTTGCATTGCATGATTGCATTCTCTGCTGCTTTTTTGCCAACCTTGTTCTTGCATTGCATCCTCTGCTCCTTTTTTTGCCTTCAACATTCACCTTAAGTGAAATTTCCTTGACAAGTGAAATTTCCATTAGTAAGAAGCTTGTCACAATAAAAGTAAGCATTAATCTTGCACAATCCATCCTAATCATTAAACATCACAGAAAAATATCTTTAAAAGAACCAAGTTAAAATACATACCATCTGCACTAACCATAAACGAATAAACTGTGTGAATACCAACAGCACAATGATGAAAATTACTTCTTTCAAATCACTTTACTTACACCAATACAATCACTTTACTTTTGAGCGTTTTATGTAATCCTTCTTAATGCATGTGTCAATTGACCCTCTCTAATTCTTCGATGTAAATACCCCAAACCCGCACCAAAACATACAAAGTTCTTGAAAAGTCAGTTCTAAATTTCATTGTCCAAAATAAAAACAATAGCAAGCCACAAGTATACCCTCAAGCTTCTCAGAAAATAACATTCAAATATAGGAGATTTTATTACTTTACTGATTAGAAATCTTCCCAATTTCATCACCAAGGGCATCCACTTCGTGTACAAGTTGAGACTTTTGCTCAAGACCTCTCCTCTTACTCTCCCCCTACACTACATGCACCTAATCAATGCATGTTCTTTCTCTCATCGACAATCTACAACAGCCTTGAAACTAAAGATTTAACCTAAGACCTAATCAATGCAAAAACAAGAGACATAATTTAAAAACAAAAGAGAGAAGGAAACATCATTATGAGTCAAAACCCAAAAGAATGGAGAGTTTATCCATCCATAATGTCTCTGTCCCCGAAAACTTCATGGCTTAAATACCATTACCACTGCCAGTTGTCGATCCATAATCACGAGACAGTGCAAAATATAAAGTATGACTTCAAATTAATTACTAAAGTTCAATGTAATAGAGGAAAACAATAAACATCCAACCCAAACTCAAGAGTCTCAAGTTTGGGTAATTCACTACAGAGTCTCAAGTATCAATCAAATTAATTACTAAGCAGTAGGCACCTATGATTATAGAATATAAGAAGCACCTAAAAGGGAAACATTTCGAAGGCCAGGAGAAAAATAGAAGGAAATATATAAGTATGAGCAGGATGCCTACACAGGGAGGATATAGAAACTTACTGAGCAGTAACTTATGTTGTTCGTATCAATTTCAGTAAAATCAAACAACAACAACAACCCAATTCCAATCCAAAAACCAACCAAAACAAAGCAAACTCAATACTTTTCAATGCATGAGCGTTAACGAATAAACAATAAACATCCAACCTAAACTCCAGATCCTCGGAATCGCAAAACATGAGCCTTAACGAATTACAAAACATTTCTTTTCAATCCCCCACCTCGGCATAAAGTTTATTCGCAAAACAAAGCAAACTCAATTCTTTTCAATCTCCCACTTAACAAAGTAATATAATTTACACACCTCGACATTAACGAATCGCAAAACATTTCTTCTTTCATCATCCAAATTACACACCTTGGCATTAACGGCTCCAAATTACCCAAAAATGGAAATTTCAATCTGAGAATATACAAATGAACAAATTTTACACAAAACCCATCAACAAAAAGCAAAACCCATTATCCAAAACACAACCAAAAAATTTAAAAAAAAAAAGAAAAGAAAAAGAAAGCCAGAGGTGGAAGGGAATGAGCACAACCCATGAACAAATTTCAGTCTGTATATTGTTACGCATGAAAGAAGAGGTGGAAGGGAATCAGAGCTTACCAGAGAGAGAGTGGTGGATTCGGAAGGGAAGGAGCACAATGATGGCCGATGAGCGATCTCTCAGTCTCAAAGAGCAAAGCCGTGCGACGATGCGACTTGCGAGAGAGAAGTGAAGAACTTGAGCGCTGAGGGTTTTGTTCTAGGACTGTTGAAATTATACAAAAGTCCTCAATAATGGGTCTTAACAGGTGGTTAACGGGTTTCGCGGGTTCACCCAAAATAACCCGTTATTAAACGGGTGATTAATGGGTTGACCCGTTAACCACCCGACCCGTTTATCACCTATCCGAATACTAATTTTAACGGGTCGGGTTAACGGATCGGGTGAAAAATGTCAGGTATACCTTTACACCTATCTTCTTTCTTATCTTTGAACTTTCTCTTCTTCTTCATTTTCTCCAAGCCGAGCCTGTGCTAGTACCACCGGTGCTCCACCGGCACGATTTTTCTGGCGAACACCAAAAGAAATAACGGGAGGGATCTAAGCTCATAGATTCGTGTTCTCTTTTGGAGATCTATCCACTCCTCAATTTTTGAGGTGTAGTCGTCGCGTCTCTACCAATCGAGGTCGATGACCATGACGCCAGTGTTGAAACGTCAGACGTGGCAGTTGGCGAAGATGAGGGAGAGGGAGGGGTCGGACAACGTAGAGGTGAAGTTGGCGTTGGATTACTCCGGGGCAGCAAGGACGACGCTCCGCCGAGGGGAGTGGCGGAGAGCTTGGCGATGTCATTGATAAGGATGAGGTCGGAGTCGAGGAAGATGACACGACGGATGAAGAAGGGGAGAAGATCAGCTAAGTAGGATCGAGCATAGTTGAGGGGGCAGTTGAGGATAGAGCATATTAAGGTGGAGATGAGGCCGGAGACGTGAAAGTTGTCGAAGGGGTAGATTCAAAATTTTAGGTAGGGAAATCAGGTGGAGATTGTTTACTACATAAGGGAGGTGTTGGCGGCAGCGGAGGCGACGAAGTGGAAGACTGCATTTTGGGGCCAGGAGGAATGTTGGAGGATAATGGAGAGGCAGCGAATGTAGGGGTCCACGTTGATTGCTTGATGAGAGCAAATCATGTGGCCGTCGTCTGATTCGTCGAAATCCACGTCATCATCGGGGATGGTGGTGATTTTGGGAATTAAAGAACTGAGGTACTTCTCTAACAGAAAAGAATCTGGGGAGTGGAAAATGTGGGTGGAGAAAAGAAAGAAGATAGAAGAAGGTGTAGTGAAATGACTATTTTGCCCTTTAAATCACATGATACTTACAAGTTTAGGGTAGGGAGTAAATTGACAAATATCTCTATATAATATACCACAATTATATTTACATCTAAGAGTGTGTTTGTTACACTAGACTATCTCTAACTGGACTAAGTTTAAGGACTAAACTAAACTGGTTTAGACTAGATTAAACTAGACTGGCTTAGACTAGACTAAGTTAGATTAACTTAGATAAACGTTTGGTACAGTGTCCAACTACAAGCAGGATAAAAAATTTATTTGAAGGTCTAGCTACCATATTATTACCCACAAGGGTAAAGGAACAGTACCACTGCTGGATAATTGGAAAGTCCCGGTGTGTCAACCTCTGTGCTTCGTGGCAAGGTAGACTAGCAAACATGCCCAACCTTTACTCACATTCGAGAAAACACTCCCAACAGGATTGCTTGCTCCAAAATCGAAGAGGCACCGCCCTCCGAATCTCGAGAGCCAGACTCCCAACATGATTACTTTCTCAAAAATCGAAGAGAGGGTAAAGGAACAGTACCACTGCTGGATAATTGGAAAGTCCCTGCGTGTCAACCTTTGTGCTTCGTGGCAAGGTAGACTAGCAAACATGCCCAACCTTTACTCACATTCGAGAAAACACTCCCAACAAGATTGCTTGCTCCAAAATCGAAGAGGCACCGCCCTCCGAATCTCGAGAGCCAGACTCCCAACATGATTACTTTCTCAAAAATCGAAGAGAGGGTAAAGGAACAGTACCACTGCTGGATAATTGGAAAGTCCTTATGTGTCAACCTCTGTGCTTCGTGGCAAGGTAGACTAGCAAACATGCCCAACCTCGAGAGCCAGACTCCCAACATGATTACTTTCTCAAAAATCGAAGAGACACCGCTCTCCGAATCTCGAGAGCCAGACCCCCAGCAGGATTGCTTTCTCAAAAATCGAAGAGGCATCGTTCTTCGAATCTCGAGAGCCAGATCCCCGACAGGATTGCTTGTTCGAAAACCGAAGAGGCACCACTTTCCCAACTTCAAGAGCTGGATCTCCTTGGATAAAGCTTGTCTGTAATCTTCACACGCAACATCAGCTTTCCAGATACCACAGACCACTTTTTCAAAGTGCTCTGACAGAGTTAAAACATGTGAAGCTGGCAGCTCCCACTACCGTGCTATGACCAAGCAGGGTAAAGGAATAGCATTATTACTTGATGTTAGGGAGACTCCTATATATGTCGACCTCCATCCCTAACGGACAGGCAGATCTGCAAAAAATGCTCAACCCTTTCTCTTATCTGAGAGGGCACTCCCAACGAAGCCTTTCGAAATATTCAGCTTTCTTTCCCCCGATAATACCTCTGTAAACAAGCTATACTAGAGCAAGAATATCTCATATCATCAGGGTTAAAAGCAAGAGTATCCCATATCATGCTTTTTCCCTGTCTTTTCCTTTGGCCTTGTTCTTACCTGCAAGACAAGGAGAAAGAGAGCAATCAGTCAGCACTTGGAATCAAGCTTCCAGCCAGGAACTGACTGCCTGGAACCCCTTACCTGATTACTTACCTAGCATTGCTCTCGAGTACTCATCTTCAACATCTTATGCTTCCAGGGAAGATACCGCATCTGCCTGAGGAACAGATAGGGCAAGTGAGAAGGATACAAGGAAGCATGTGGAGACAAGCGTAACAGCACACGTGCCGATACATCCACTACTCTGTCAAAAGCAAAAGTATCCCATATCAGCAGGGTCGAACGTACTCTAGATTTGATGGACTTGTTTTGACCCTCAAATTCTTCAGTCGGCCTTATACTCTAGAGGAAACCAGAAAACCCTCCAGCCCGGTTCAAGAATAAGCCTGTGGAAAGTTACTTCTTCAAAAGCAAAAGTATCCCATATCATATATCTTCTCATTTTCTTCTCTTTATCCTTCATGCTGCCTGCAAGATAGGGAGAATGTGAACAACCAGCCGGAGCTCTGATTGCTTACCTTGTCTGTCACCTCTTTCAGCAGATCCCCTAGCCCGGCGACTTGGGGGACTCCTACTACATGGTTCGTATCGCGCTTGACCAAGCCTGAAACTACAAGTAAGCTTCAAGTGAAATTGATACATTACCTTGTGCATCTCCACCAGTTACAGATACCACCCCTGGATGGAGGAAGAGTACTTCCAGAGAAGATGCCACATCTACCTATGAGACAGATAAGGCAAGTCAAGACGATACCACACTCCGGTACTTAGAAGTTTCGTGGTTACGAGATCATTCTCCCACAATATTTCCTAATGTCATTTGTACTAAATCATTCACTTGTACTCACTAAAGGAGAGCTTGAACCTATGTACTTATGTAAACCCTTCACAATTAATGAGAACTCCTCTATTCCGTGGACGTAGCCAATCTGGGTGAACCACGTACATCTTGTGTTTGCTTTCCTATCTCTATCCATTTATATACTTATCCACACTAATGACCGGAGCAATCTAGCGAAGATCACAAAAAGTGACCGTTTTCGCTACCTAGGATCTATCTTGCAAGAGAACGGAGGAGAATTAGATGGAGATCTCAACCATAGAATACAAGCTGGATGGATGAAGTGTAAGAGTGCATCCGGCGTGTTGTGTGACCGTCGTAGGCCATTGAAGCTCAAGGGAAAATTTTATAGGACGGCAATAAGGCCAGCGATGTTGTATGGCACAGAATGTTGGGCGGTGAAGCATCAACACGTCCACAAAATGGGTGTAGCGGAGATGAGGATGCTTCGTGGGATGTATGGGCACACGATAAAGGATAAGATTGGGAATGAGGATATCCGAGGTAAAGTAGGAGTAGCCAAAATTGAAGGAAATATGAGAGAAAATCGGTTCCGGTGGTTTGGACATGTGCAAAGAAGGCCTACTGACGCTCCGGTTCGAAAATGTGACTACGGGACAGAGGTTCAGGGCCGAAGGGGTAGAGGAAGACCTAGGAAAACTTTGGAAGAGACCCTAAGAAAAGACTTGAGTACTTGAATCTAACGGAGGACATGACACAAAACCGAGCGCAATGGCGTTCTAGGATTCATATAGCCGACCCCACTTAGTGGGAAAAGGCTTTTTTGTTGTTTTTTTTTTTTTTTTTTTTTTTCTAGATCACACGCTCTCTCTCGAACACTCTCTTTGAAAATATGTTAGCTTTTCTAGAACACTCTATTTCTAGGATTTGTAATTTGCGATTCAAATATGGATTTCGCTATTCGAATATGGGTTTTGCAATCCAGTGAGATCAGGGTTTTGTGATTCGAGTGACTTGCGCAGATGTGTAGAAGATGAAGATGAAGTTGTGGTTGCAGAGGCTCTATGGAAGGATTATTAGAAGAGCCCAAATGGAAATGGGTGTCTGCCAAGGTCGTCCACCTGTCAAGTTCTATGTCTTTGTCTACCGCTGAGGGCCTAGGCAAGCTCAGAGGTGAATCGGACGACAACGAGAGCAGAGATAGGACGCAATGCTATTCTGGGTTCTCCGGAATTCGAAACGAGCAGATGATGCGATTCTTGGTTAGCGAGTGTAGGCGATGGTGGCGCCACGAGCAGAGAGAGGACGTGACTTCATTCTAGGCTCTTCGAGATTCCAACTGAGCAGATGAAGAGATTATGGTTCTCCGCGATTCTAGGTGATGTCAGCGACACGAGTACGCAGCAACGTACCCCAAAAGCCCTCTATCACCCTTAGTTTTCTGGCATTTTTGTCCAAATATTTCGGTTGCCCCAGTCAACATTCTCTACGTACCTATGTATTTTATTTAGGCGTTCATCAACAACAGAACGCCCAAATTTCAAAACAGAGATAGGAAGGAAAAGGAGAAAGTGTTTGAAGCTTCTACATTGTAAAAGCATTGACCAAAAATGGGCTCTGGGTTGTAAATCAAAATTGCAGGCACACTTCACTTTCTGCACTCTGATACTAGTAAAGTCAAGCATAAATACACCGGGCGCATGCAACATAATTTCTATACCACTCATCACGTGAGTTTACCTAGTGATAACTCATTAATTAGTGTGTATTGGCGAATGGGACTAGCAGTAAGCCTTCATCAGTTTTTGTGTAAATATTTCTACAACGACATGAGGTGTAATTCCAAAGTAAAACCAGTTTAGTTGTGATCTCGGTAATTGTTAAATAAATTTTTTATCATTAAAATATAGCTAACTACAATTGAGAGAGAATCAATGGGATGAACTGCAAAGTTAAAACTCAATCACCATTTTCCTTAGCAGATACTGAATACATATTATGAACTAAACACTTGCGAGAATATAAGAGGCCATCTAATTGAATGATGCTTGGGCTAATCACACAGGGTCAGTCTTACGTTTGGGCACACAATTGATGAGAGAATCTCATGTATCATCGGGATGTATCCCCATGAGTCCGATGAGTCGTAGACTAACGGGAATACATCCGAAGTTGTAGGTAAGAATCTTTCATTCTTTTCCTAACACAGAGTGATAAAAGGAGTGGCGAATTGCAGACCAATATCTGCTAACAGCATTACTCTTCTATATTTTTACTAGCAGAATCTACTGAACTGATTCAGGTTGTTCCATAAAATGAGATCAAGACATCAAGCAATGAGGCAACACTCCGGGAAAATCTAAATAATCAAAGATCTTGATTCTTAGTCTTACAGCCCTACCAAGTTCCAATTACGCACTACATACAGACAAACCAGCAAGGTACTAAAATAAATTACACAGCATTAATCAAGGACCAAACTGTTCTATGCGTACCATGAGTTCCGCTAGCTAGATTATCGACTCATCTCCAGCTTCTGCCAATTCAAGATACAAATATATATGTTTCAAAAAAATTTATGTGCAATTGACTTTAAGCTGGTTCAATTCACATATAAGATGGAAAGTAATACCTTTCCCTGGAACGATTACAACCGGAGCTGATTTACAGTTGCGCATGCAATACTCGCTCACACTTCCTTTTAGTACACTGAAGAAATCCCAGCAATAAAGTGAGTAAATGAATTGTGTGTTTGAGATTGAAAGAGGAGGGGTACCTTTGAATGAAGCCTCTGCCTCTGGTACCTAGGATCACAGCTGCTGGTTTTATTCGTTCTGCTTCCTTGCAAATTACCTTACCCGGATCCCCTTCCACAATCCGGGCAGTACTCCTTACCTATTTCCATAAAACATTGGATGTAAAAAATTCCAAATGCAAGATAATAACCTATAGTTGGTTTCATAATTGTCCACATTATTTACCTCTAGAATAACAGAAATACGTTCTCTCCACAAATTTGTGTCGTCGGATGTTTATATTACCAGAATATGAATATGAAATGAGGCATTAATCGATAACTCAGATTCATAGTATGTAGGAATCACACATGTTATGTTCTCAGACAGTTTGGCAAGTCAACATTTCACGATAAAAACAGTTCAAGCTGCGTTGGGGCATCCGTTATTACTGTTATCATGCTATATCGATCGGCATTATCCAATTAATTCAACTAGATTACACTTATCCAACACAACAATATACACCACCAACAGTTGAAAACAACAAATCTTACTTTACTTGACAAATTGCAATGGCCAAACGTTGTTTAATCGCAATTTTATGTGCAACTTTGGATGCCCCAAATTAGATCACCAACAGTTGATATATAAAATTTGACATGGCTAATATTCCACGCATGATTGAAAAGGCCATAAGTTACGCTTACGCCAAGTACAACCCTTATTATACCCACCATGGCAACTTGAAGTGCCTCCATAGCAAGCTTCACCATAAGCTCCTCACTTGCATTGTAAACAATCTCGTTTTTCACATCTAAACATGAAAAAATAACAAGAGGTTACCTCAAGATAATCGTCTAGGTGCTGCGTGAAAGGATCAAACGTACAACATGACACTCGTATACATCTACGGTTTGAATGAAAACAAATCTTGAATATGACAGGTCCTATGAGCTCTCTCTCGTAACAACGGGGTGGGCCCCACGCCTCCCACCCCACCGTGAATACAGAATCTCATAGGACCTGTCACGCGAAGCATATAAAAGACATACAAGAACATGAAGGCTTGTAAATGAAGAAATGAATTAACTGGAAACGGCATGAACGAGATGGAGGGTATCAGCGAGCCTGCAGAAGTGGATGAGGGCCCAATCGAAAGCGTACTTGCTGTTGGGGCCATGATCCACAGCTATGATAATGTCACGGCCTCGCTTTCGCTCCAGCTTCTCTCTCTCGAGCTCCGCGGTATGAAGAAGCTGCACTTCTCTCCAACTGTAAACTTCTTCGTCCTCCTTCACGGTCTCCAACGCCATCACCGTATGATTCGCAGAACCGAATTAAGGATGATTTTAATGATGTGGGTTTCTGATGGATTCAGGAATTCTGTTGTCGATTTTGGTTGTGTTGGGGTGTTTTGTTCAGGTAATCATGGGCCGCGGTTTTGGTGCAAAACCGCCAGGTAGGACCGGAGGAGACTGGTTTGGTCGGCTGTGTTGTGCACGTGGATTCCATTTCTTTGCTTTGCGTATTTGGATTGCTTCCGTCCACTGACTTTTCTTGCCTTCTTTTCTTTTTAAAGTAATCTATTTTACGTTGAAATGTCGTATGAAAAATCTATTTACTTGACGAGTAGGATTTTTTCATCATTTCAATTATTTTACTGGATAACAAGTTCAAATTCTTGAACGAGGATCTTTTTTGGATTCTATTTATGACGATCTCGAACATCTTTTAAACATGTTTATTTATTTTACAATTATAAATTATTTTAAATTTAAAATTTAGTAGAAATAGTATCTAATAAAAATTAGTCTTATAATTTACGATAAAATTTTATAGTATAATTTAAATGAATTTTTACGAAAAAATTTTGATACTGTTTATTTTAACAAAAATACTATAATTTTACATTAAAAAATTAATCTTATTAATATTCATTTTACTCTTTATTTTGTTATTTTCATTAAAATTCAAAATTTTTAAACATTTTTCATTAATTTTTTTATAATTTAATCATTCATAAATCTCCTCCTGATATTTCAAAGGAATTGAATTAAAATCAAACACAAACTCTATAAATCAATTAAATTTCATCAAAATCCATAAATTTATAAAATCTCTCAGAATTGAGATATGCCCTCAATCACAATCCGGCAATATTATGGTCAAAGTTCAAAACCCCAGCTCATGACTAGTCTAGTTCAAAATACTTATGATTAATTAAGATTATTATATTGGGCATTAAAAGTCATGCAATTAGGCAATATCCGCAGACCAAATGATATCAAGATTCAAAAGAATCACATCAATCGACTAGTAAAATTTGTCACTCAAAGCTTAGCAACTAAGTTTAATTTCTTGATTCAGATTCCCAATTTCAAACTAAAGGGCCTTTTCATTGAATTTAAAAACAACCCATTTCCCATAATTTAAAATCCTCGATTTGGACCATTTTTCCACGAAAAGTCGAGGTATTGAGTACATTTCTTAAGATCATCCAGGAGCAAGAAAAACCCAAAATAAATAAATAAATAAATAAATGAAAACAGAAGTACAGAAAGCATGACAAGTTTGAATTCAAATAAATAAGTAAATGAGAATAAAAAGAAGGAAGAAGGTGCTCAGAAAGATTATGAATGGATGAGATAGTTTCTCCTCATACAAGATCAGATTAACGAGATTATCAATTTCTCATCATCATCGCACCTCCTGCCTCCTCCTCCTACAAACCATATTAATAAAACAAAAATATGAATATTTACCCAGACGCACAAATATTAATATGCCGAAGGAAACATTGCTTTGATTGGTGAATTAGGTTTTCCGTTCTTGTTGTTAGTATTTATAGTGCAGAACAGTGCCTTGATTGCCTTCCCGTTGTGGGCCTGAATTGGAGATGGGCTCCAAATGATCATACTTGGCTGGGCTTGTTTTAACCAAAAAGACCCATGTTGAGGCCCAATTCTTATTCTTGGCAGCTCTTATTTCAAAGGGTGTCGCCAATGTGGAGGTTTCTTTTTGGGACTTGCAATACATCTATCTATTTAGTTTAATCACCAATTAGAGGTTATATATTATCGAATCAAAGTTTTAAATATCAATTTTCACAAAATGTCGACAACTTAATTTACAGATGTATCAACAAATATTTCGATATCGGCTGATATTTCGAGGAGACATTTTGTATATGAAGTCATATATTTTGTATTGAAATTAAATAGTTGCTTTCGCTGTAATACCTTACATGTATTTAATACATTCACAATCTCAATGGTCAAATATAAAGTTATGTTGTAATGACATCTAATGATTTATATTTAACCGTCGACGGTTGATTATATATAATACTTCAATATATCGTATCAAATTTCTTCTTTTTAAGGCAATAAAAAAAAGGAAAGTGTTATTGGCACTCCAAAAATCGTATTCTACACTTTTTACAAGTGTATTTTTCTTTCTAAATATAGAAAGTTTAGAGTATAGAATAAAAATTTTAGAGTGCCAATAACAATTTCCTAAAAAAGTATTAATACAATATTCAAACTGCAAAGTGTTCGTGGCTTGACTGGTTAATAATAATAACAATTGCACTCAATTCTTCGTTCTCCGGATATCGCTTGTATACAAATATAAATGAATTAAGATCAACCCACTGCAGTAGTTAGTATAGTTTTTTGTTTGTACCTGACTGCAGTAATAGGGTATTCGAGGAGTTCATCAGGATAGCGAGGCTACACGTTCGGGATTTTGAAATTACTTCTAGCAGATGTGGAGGCATTCGAAGATTAAAATCTTTTAAACTATTGCTAAGATCATTGTAGAAATTTGTTGCAAGAAACCGGGTCTAAATTCACATTTAAAAGAATTCGATACACATTACATTTTGTTATTCATCTTAGAACAAGAGTTTTGCTTGTAGAACTCCTGCACTTTGCAGTAATGTTTACAAGAATCTGTCAACCAAAAGGCTCAAAAATAAAAATAGTTTGTGGTCTCCTAGAAACTCCACTGTGAGTTCTCCGATACGTATTTGGAACTAACAAGGTGGAAGGTCTTTAGGTGGAGGCATGACAGAGTGATCAGTGTCTTTCCCATTTTCCACCACAAATGCAGTCTTCAGACCCCAGCTTGTATGCAGCTCCAAATGACAGTGCATGAACCACACCCCTGAATCGTTCAATTACCGTCATATGATCAGTAAGGTATATTAAAACAAGCCAATAACTTGCTTAACTAGTAAATATAAATTTTAACATACAATGCTGTTTGGTTATGTTGATGTGTTTACCTGGATTATCAGCCCGGAACCTTATGGCAGTCCAACCGCCGGTGGGAACTCCCACTGTGTTTCTCTCAGGAGGGTCGACCAAGTTAAAGGTAGCCGGGTCCTTTTTCGGGTCAAAGTTCCCAATTCCAGAGCCAACAATAAAGAAATTGTAACCATGAAGGTGGAAGGGGTGGGACTCCACTGTGAGAAGATTGGTGTCTTGTAGCACCAACTCTACTGTTGAATTGAAGGCAATCTTGCTAAGCCGGGTACCTTGTTTCGTTCCAAGGTTGGCTGTGAGTGGAGCACCTGTGAAATTGAAAGACGTTGGCGGGCGGTCGGGAAAATCTGTGGTAAATACTCCCTTGGTGTTGAAAAAATGAGCTTGAAGCAGCCCAATTTTCGGCATCACGAAAGTGATATTGTTTAAAGAAGCAGTGAGTTGTGTTCCATTCAGACAAGTAGGGCAAGGGTTGATTCCTAAACCAATCGTATAAAAGAGATGTCGGTCAACTTTGAGAGGTACATGGGCTGGGAACTGTGCTGTGTTTAGACTTCTAAGATTGTCATCGTAGTTTAATGCGAAGGCGGTGTTATTGGGTGCTGGAAGTTGAGGAAGGACTGGCTGTACAGAATTCGGGATGCCTTTATATTGTAGTATTGCAGTGGCAGTTTTGTTGTCAACTGAAACGGGTGCATCCATAAATGGCCTGGCAGCCATGAAATATCTGCCCGGTGCTTGGGTTGCTTGAACCAGAACATTCGTAGTCTGGCCTGGTGCTATTAGTATTGCTTGAGTTGTAAATGGTTTGGTGTAGACTGCGTCAATTTCTACCACTGTCAAATTGTGGCCAGCAATGGCGAAGAATAGCTCATCATTGAGTGCAGCATTGATGATTCGAAGAAGGTATGTCTTTCCTTGCTCAACCTCCAATGCATAGGTATCTGGGATAGCATATAAAACAAGAATTATATATACGTATCATCTCAAATATCTAGGGTCAAAGAATTCCTCAATCGAAGGCGCTGGCTTACGTTTTTCAGAACACGGAAACAGCGGCCCTGGTTTCCCATTGATGGTGTGTGCATCCGACATATTTGGTGGCAGTCCCTTTTTGTTTCCTTGTTTAACAACCTCTTCGACGTCGTTATTCCACCATTCTCCTGCACCATTTACAAGAAACAATACCATTAATTTCTGCATAAATTCTGAATGTCTTTCAGCATGTATTTCAAGTTCTTCTAGTTGCACTAACTCACCTAAAACAATGTTAGCTTCCCTGTAGGGCTGAGGAAATGGAAATCCTTCGCCTTGTTTCGGCATTATGACAATCGCTCCATAAACAGTAGCTCGTAGCCAAAAGATGTGAGCATGCCACCAAAGTGTTCCTCTTTGGCCTGTTATAGTAATATTATAGGTGTAGCTGTGCCCTGTCTTGATAGGACATTGTGTAATGTAGGCAGGCCCATCCGCCCACCCATTGCGATATTGCTTCAGTCCATGCCTTCAAAATTCCATCAGAAATTAATTTTACACTCAGAAAACCCAAATTGTTATGTTAATTTCATGCTGGGATAATAAGATAAATGTTCCTACCAATGAATTGACATGTTATATTTTGCATGGTTGGTGACATTAACGACAAGTGTATCTCCTTCTCTAGCATAAACTGTAGGTCCTGGGAACATCCCATTTACTGTAACAATTGGCTTCGAATGGCACAACCTGCTCACGTTGGTCACTTTAACCTGGAAATAAATGTACATACAAATTAGCAAACAGATAAATAATTTAGACTATACTATGCATTCTAAAGCTGCCAGTATGAATTGCTCACATCGAATTGGTACGTCTTTAGTGCAGCTTCGCCCGGAGTTAAAAAGAACCCGACAAAGTATATGAAAAGAAGTGCAGAACCCCAGCAGAAAGTGATGGTTCTTGCCATTTTTGAGACCGAATTGTTCGAATACAATTGCAAGTTTGTAGGGGATGAGACATGATAGAAGCTCTAAGCGTAATGGTTTTATAAGGCTGGCCAAAGCTTAACATAAATTAAGCATTAGGTAGACTGTACATACAGGTTTCATATGAAGGCTTTGAAGCAAAATAGTGAAAGGGACTTTGAAGAGTGGAAACGGAGTTGCTGGAGAACTTAATTAATCTTGTATTTTTATTATTTGGAAAAGTACAGGTATTAAACAAAGTGAGTGTGTATCCAAACAAGGCTCTCTCAGCTTTAACGTAAAGAAAAATTGTTGGCTTCAAGTGTGTATTTCTTGTTAATTGTTAATATATTTCTTGTATGGAAAAGTATTACCATTTTATATTGATTTCCTAACATGATTTAGGGCTGGTTTGGTATTGCTGTGCTTTAAAAAAAAGCTGCTGTGAGAATAAGCGGCTGTGCTGTGAGAATAAGCGGCTGTGAAATAAAGCAGCAGAGTGTTTGGTAAACTTTTTTGTAAAAGTGCTTTTGGAAGAAAAAAAAGCAGTCTGATAGTGGGTCTTTTCATTAAAGGAGCACTGTAGCTCCGTGTGCTTTGAAAAAAAGCCAGTTTTCCAAAGCTGCAAATAGCAGCTTCAGCTTTTTCCTTTGA